TATTTGTTCAAATCTGTAATATTTGGTCTAAAAACGTGTTTTTGCTGCTCATATGGGTAGAGCAGTGGTACTGCAGGCTAATTTGCATATTGATTAACGGCTCTCCGCTGTGACGTGCTTCTCCGCTGTGTTCTGATATAAAAGCCTCTCTCTAAGACACGCCCCTGCAGCAGTCAGAGGGTGGAGCTGTTAGCAAGCTTAGCATGATCGTCTGTTGACCTTCAGCCTCGGGTGGGGAGAGCTGACTGCTGCGCTTCTCTGTTCTCAGCTGTCTGCTTTTATTTTTTTCTGTCAGGCTGTCGGAGCGCTCCACCTCCTCTGTCTGGTGCTGGTGTGAGGTGAAAATCCTCCACCTCAGACGTTCAGAGATGTAACTCTCGGCGATACTGTGGTCACTTTCCATGTAGCATCAATTATGCTAATGCTAGCTGCCTGTCACGTTCTCTCGTCCTGGCCACACCTCCGCTCTCTAACCCCCCTTCCCCACCCACACCCCCTCCCCTACCCACTTTGATGCATTTTTCAAATTTCGCCTTGGGGCGGAGTTGTCTTTTCACAGTGGGGGGTAAGGTACACTTTAAAGAAATACCCTACTGAACAAAAAAGGCCCAACTTCACATGTAAACACAAAGAGTGCTTTGTACTGTACTGTACAGCACTTTTCTTGAAATAGCACATTTTGACAAACACAAGGAATACTTCACACCAATTTAAAGCCATTGAGAAGTAGCGGAGAAACAGTGTGCTGAAATTACAGCCTGGCGAGCAGCACGCTCTTATAAATTATTGATTGAGCTAATGTAACAAGATTACATTCTCCTTTACAGGCCAGTGATAGAGCTTTATTGTGCTGAGCAACTCCAATATCGCAGCATTGCTGAGCAATAGCTTGGATGGTCTACAACTATTAATTACTTGGATTGAAATAAAATCGCAAGGAAGAAACTCAATGTAGTACATTGTGTGTGTCGCATTATCACCTGGAGAGGCAGCAAGTTAGTGTTTGGTCATAAAGCTGCCTGTCACTTCATTTGTTTTCATTTAATCACTACATACTGGTGGCTCAAACGGGTCCCACCTACATGTTGGTGGCCCGTATCTACACAGTCTAAGTTGTTAGAACAGTGTTGGAGTGTGGGTTTTAGTTAATATTTTAAAGCATTCACTTGAATTGTTGTGAACTAGCTGACATTTTTTATTGAGATTAGTCTGACTGTTGTTTAGTGCAGGTAATATACTGACTACTTATGATAAATTCACAACCTTTAAAACTCAGAACTATCTGTTTAGGTCTAACGAGCCTAGCATGGCACACAAAATCAAGAATGTGTGTGTGCATCATTTATAAAATTCGTATATTATCTAATAACATTAAATTTTACATTTGCTTGATTGTGCAAAAAAAAAAAAACAACAACATAAAATCAGCTCAAGGAAATTATAAATCTGGTATAAAATTTTAGTTTTCATCATAAAATGTTACAAATAAAGAAAAACTAAGCTCATATCCTAAAGTAGATGTAAAAAAAGCAACATAAACCATAAGAAATGAAGACAATATATCTACTTGTTTTTTGTGGTGTAGAGAAGGAGCCAAAGCCTTGAGATGCAACACTCCCCGCACCAGTGGTGAAGGTCCCGCTGGGTTTCTGCTCCCCAAAGGCAGACTGGCCAAAACCAAAGGCCTTTGCACCACTATTTCCAAAGAGATTGTTGGTACCTAGAGCAGAAAAATAAAGACAAAAACAACCTTTAAGAGAATATAAAATTTGAGAACAGGCATACACTTTTCTTTTAGATAAAACTGAGACAAGTCTGCAGGCGTCTCTGTGTTCGGGATCACGCTTTGTCATATTTTGCCATAAACTCTGGTGTCTTTTATTTGTAGYGTACCAGGCTGAGCGGCCTGTCCAAATGCCCCGGAGGAAGCAGTGGTGCCAAATGGGTTCTTGTTGGTGGCATCCTCGCTCGGTTTGCCTCCMAGGCCACTGAAGAACCCTCCACCAGAAGATGAACTTGCTGTGTTTGCTGGACTTGACCCAAACAGACTTACTGACTGTTGCTTGGAGAGGGGTTAGAAAATTAACATTTTATTTTAAATAAAAAAAAGTAGAACTTGTAGTTTTCCCTTAGACAAATAGTGAAAAATACCTGTCCAAATATGCTGCCGGATGCAGACTGCTGACCAAACACAGGAGTGGCAGAAGAGCAGCCAAAGCCTGACAGATGACAAACAAACCAATTAAAAATAAGACTTTATTTTTAACTTTTATCAACCAGTGAGCCATCATTGTGTAGTTTTCTCTATTCTCATGAAACAGATTGAACGGTGAGTCAGTCTGTAGGCAGGAAGGACTAGTTTGGTCTAAATGCTGAGCTCATACTTCACCATCAGCTGTCCACATGGACATTCTCAGACAACTTTGAGAATTCAGAGAATGCTTGGGAATGGGACAACTCCSCCCTACCCACTCAGGCTGGTGGTCTGCTATAAATAAGAACAGGTGCCTTCACCCATTTGAGATAAATATGCCATTGAAACTGTATTACACCGGGCCTGAATCACAACAGCAGCAGGACGGACTAGGTTTTTTTTGCAGATCCTCCTGCACTGCTCACTGTTCCCAGAGACATAACAATTTAATTCCTGGGTTGTCATATGATTAAAAATGGCTCACGGGTTACCAATCTGAAACTTGAAACTCCTATTTCCGTTACATTCGAAAAGTCAACAAGTGTCAGTTCTCTCATKTAGAAAAATCGAAATCTGATATATCCTAGAGCAAGAATACACAAACTGAAATGTAACAGGACTAAAACATTTCAGAAGAATTCTAGATTTAGTTCAACTACAATAAAATAGTAAATAAAGAAGAAAAAAAGATAAAACTTGAAATGAATAAATCTCAGTTCAGCTCACCTGGCTGACCGAAGCTGAAGCCTGAAGATGAAGATGTGGTGGTGTTACTCCCAAACAGAGATCCTTGCCCAAATCCAGAACTCTGACCGAATGCTGGRGCTGTGTTTTGTCCAAACAGCCCCGTACCCGTGTTACTGGCTGTGTTGGCACTGCTAGTGCCAAAGGAGAAGGAACTTGCATTGCTAGGAGTAGCAGACCCAAAAAGACTACYTCCTCCAGTGGTTGCGCTATTAGACGTTGTTCCAAATGCAGACTGGGTAAACGAGAAGCCAGCAGATGTCCCAGAACTGCTGGCAGGTTGACCAAACGCATTTATTTGGCCAAACACCGATTTACCAAAACCATTTCCAGCTGAGGAGGCAAAGCCAGGTGAGCCAAATCCCGTGGATGCTGGGGCTGAGGATGCAGGAGGTGCAACAGGTTGCCCAAACACGGAGCTAGCGGCTGCAGTAGTCGTGCTGCTAACAACTACAGTGGTGGGAGTAGTGGCTGCAGGAGCAGCTGTGCTGATAATCGGTGTGACTCCAATGGAACTGCTGTCTGTTATCGCAGGAGCAGACTGAGTAAAAATGGAACCTGGTTTTTCAGATGGGGGTAMTTGGAACGGTGCTGGGGGTGACTGGGAGATGGGGGTTTCTGTAGCAGAGGGTGAAGTGGACACAGAAGCAGTGGAAGATGGATCTAAGTGGGGTTCTGTTGTAGATGGAGCAGTGGCTGGTGGTGGAGGGGTTGCTTCAGCTGCTACAGTGACGGTAGGAAGCGGTTCTGGGTTAGGGACAGTTGTGGCTAAAGGAAGTGTGGGTGTTGGTGCTGCAGGTGGTGCTGTGGTTGCTACCTCCACTGCAGGTTCTGGTACTACAGACTGACTGCTGCTCTCTACAGCAGCTTCAGTAGATGTAGTAGTAGCTTCTTCTTCAGGTGGTGGTGTAGAATCTGAAGGCTGCTGGGGAGATTTTRGTTCCTCAGATGACTCCGACGAAGGTGCGAGAAGGCTACTGAAGGATGTAGGAAGAGCTGGAGCAGCTGAGGTAGGAGGAGGAACTGAAAAAGCTGGCTTGGTGCTCGATTCAGGAGGTTTGAACAAACTGCTCTGTGTTGTCCCCTTAGGTAGGTCTGTTGGAGCAAAGCTGAAGTTCTGCACTCCCAGGCCAAGACTAGCATCCCCAAATGTAAACGAAGCAGGTTTTGCTGCAGAATCTTTGCCTTCTTCTCCTTGGCCCACACGTAGCCCAGAAAATATGCCTAGTGTCTCTCCTCCAACTGTCTTTGGGAGTTGTRGGTCTGTTCTGAAAGTGGTGCTGGTAGATGTGTTTTTGGCTGCTTCATTTGATGTGTTTGGAACAAAAGTGGGAGACTGACTACCAAGACTGGAGGAGGTGGGCTTTGAGGTGAGGGAGAATGGCTGTTCTGCAGGCTGACCRAATACCACTTTGCCATTTCCACCAAACGAGAATTTATTCACATCTTTAACTGCTGAGAGATTAGAGAGAAAGATGACGTTATGGAGGCAACCTTTTAGAAATGTCTTAACAGAACAAAGCTACTGGRTTATTTTTACCTTGTGAGGTTCCAGCTCCTTGTGTGACAGAAGAAAAACCAAAGCTTGTTGCTGATCTGCAAYGGAAACCATCAAACTCACATTACACCAACAGTGAGGCCAATTTTAGCTKTTGTAATCAGTCATTTTAAGCAGGATCAAACAGCTGGATTATCTGTGAAACTAAAGGGTTGTAATTCACTGCTCAAATCTACTTTTTTCAACTGTGGGGTTAGATTAGGAGAGAGAAGTTGAGGTACAATCTAAGAAACTAGACCACAGGAAGAACTGAAATGCGGAAACCAGRATGTTGCTTCAGCTGAAACCATGCTTCACTTTAACCAATTATGAGCTGAAAAAAAAAACCTAAGGTGGCTGAACAAAATCCTACTTAAGTTATATTTATACACTAGAAAGAGAACATGCAAACAWCTTTATTCTTTAATTACTCTTTGTGATAATTAAATTATGAACAATGTTCTGTTTGTCTATAATCTGATCATAAGAGAATTTAAATGTTATTGTTGTGAACTTACCCTGGTGTGAAGGAGAAAGGCTTGTTGCTGCTTTGCTCCACTGAATTGGTAGAAACCACAGAAACCTCTGYTTTGGTTGTTTGACCTTAACAATAAAATTTTAGGAAGTTAGTAAAACATCTTTCAGAAAAAAAAAAAAAATAATAACTTTTTTGTTGCTTACCAAATACAAAGCTTGTCTGTGAGATGGATGTACTTTCAGGGGACATCTTTTGGGTACTTGCAGTTGTATTCTATAGAAAACAGTTTAAATATTTGTAATACCTAAACAATTGGSCAATATGTTAAAACAATATAATGCAGCTTATCCTAAAAGCACAACATATTCACCAAACAAGAATGTTAAGGTAGATGTAGAGTGTAACAAACATGAAAGTGCACGCATGAATTAGGAAACCAACATGTTTATATGTTTCCTATTACAGATAACTWAGGGATGTACAAGAACAAGATTTGTGTTAAGACCCTTCCTGTCACCCAACTGCAATTTGTAGCATCAACGTGGGAAGAACTTGAGACTTTTATTACCCCTGTAGTTAATACTCTCTCTTCAGATGCCAAACTGTCAGCAATCTGTGTATTTTCACATGTTGAATGTTCTTTAAACTTAGGAGATCAAGAACTGAACAGCAGAGAACAGGCTTCACTCTGATTAGTTAGGTAAGAACATGCAAACTGCTAAAAATATAATGAAATCATTTTTTGTCCTTTTTTTTAACACAAACACTAAACAATGTGAGGATTGTGAAATCCGTTTTGCTTAATTTGTTCTGCACAAGTAAAACAGAAATATTTTGTTTAAGGCATTTGAAGTAGTAGGATTATTAAATGCCACCAAAGTGACAGCATCACACAAATACACCAAAGAACAAAAGGACAATATGAGGAGAGAAAGAAAAATAAATCACTTTGCACTCACTCGTTTGACTTGGTTGACAGAAACTACTGCAAACATCTGAGCTGGCAGTTCTGGCATTGTAGAGCTGGGTAAGGTCAATCAAAGAGCGAGAGAAAGTTCAATACAAATCTGAATGTCCACAAACAACAAAATTCAATCAATGTCAACCAGTGCTCACAGCATGACTTTGTCTAGAGATGAAATAATTAAAAGGTCCAGCATTCCTTGAAGGAATCCATATCACCTGCTGCCTGTTATATCAGTGTTAAAGATAAAGTTTCGCCAATTTGGTCAAACCTCGAAAATAATGTTATGTGCGATTTCATACAATACTGCAGAAAGTCACACTCAGTATGTGTCGTAAATGACTTTCAGCTACAAACACACCAAATTTTAGGAAAATATCTTTAAAAATAAATGAGTTTTAGCCTTTTTTTTGCTAGCTAATATCTATTAGCTGTGGCAATCACTTTTAATTGGACTTGCTCCAAAAGTTAATCAGCTGCAGATGTGCACCTAATGATTATATCCAGCAAGTTTCATTAAAGTTTGCGCAGTAGTTGTTGAGATATTTTGCTAACAGATATCTAAAGCTCAAGAGAAAACAAGTTTACCTATTGCTACACAAAAAACAACTTCTAAGTTGTTAAAAAGAGAGTACACTTAAACTTAATTAGTGAATATGCCAGATGGGTGAAAAGTTAAGCATCATGTTGAATATTTCCTCACAAAAACAAGTTTTAACAYATTTCTTGAATAGCCTACTAACTATAAAACATTTATCCATCCAACGACACCAGCTATGRCCCGTCATTTAGCGAACGATTTCCACTGAACCTGATCTGAACCTTTTCTGTTTCTACCTGATGATAGAAGAAACAGGAACCGGTGGCCCTTTGTCCTTGAGCTCCTGAACATTGACCACCTGGGGGACAGTCTTCAAGGTGGACTCTGTCAAGGACGTACTAACAACAGCTGGAAGACACAAAAAAAAAAAATCATATAGGATGAATTTACATCTTGTTGACTTCAAAACAAAACAAAACAAGACTTTAACATTTCTATGATGATTTCTTCCAGAGTGAAGTCACATTGAAACAGTTTAGTAAGTTACTGTGAGGAGGTAATGAACTGGGATTAAAAGCTATTTGGTTCAAATTCTTTTGTCTTAAAGTCTATGTCTCCCCCTGGTGATTTACAAAAGAAATAGCAATAAGATGTGGAAACAAAACAAATACACATATAC